GGCTCCGAGCCGATGCCGTCGGCTGCCGAGCAGCCGAAGAACAATGGCCCTACCTTTCTGGGACATTTCAAATTACGGAGAAACTTTACCTCTGTAATTCTTCGAAAGGGATTGGTTGTTCTAAATAAAACCTACCCATATGGAACGGTCGCTGGGACGGCCTAGCGATGCTCGCGGGAATTACCGACGGCACGCTTAACTGACTATCTGGGGGTGGGCCTACGCGCACGCTGAGGCATACCTTGGCACGCGCCGACCCGCCATTCTCGCACCCCGGCCCCCCGCGGGCAATTTCGTGCCGCCGGGCCTGGCAGGCAGAGATCGCGCATCGATGGGGTCCGAAACTCATGCGATTGGTTCGGGGGTTCTTGCTACCCCCTATTGCAGCACCCCCGATCCTGTTTCATTAAGCACCAAACCCCCCAAAGTGCACCGTTCCCCCTCCACCGATCTCCGTCGGGTTGCAGCCTGGCTCGGTCGACCATCGATGGGGTCTGAAACTCATGCGATTGGTCCGGGGGTTCTTGCTACCCCCTATTCCAGCACCCCTGATCCTGTTTCGTTAAGCACCGAACCCCCCAATGTCCACCGTTCCCCCTCCACCAATCTCCGTCGGGTCGCAGCCTGGCTTGGTCAACCATCGATGGGGTCTGAAACTCTTTCGATTGCACCGGGGTTTATTGTGATCCCCTATTTAGCCACCCCTGAGTTTGTTTTGTCAAGCACCGAACATGCCAAAGTCCACCGTTCACCCTCCACCAATATCCACGGGAAGGCTGACTTTATTATGCATTACTTGAGCTGAAATGTGAAGTGAGCACATTGGGTATTTTTCCATCCTCCTATTCAAGCATGTACACACATCTTAAGTTGAGAACTGGAGTCCACAAAGTGCTCCATTTACTTTCCACCAATGCTCACAAGCCCACTTTATCATGCATTGTTTGGACTCAAATCTGAAGCAGGTGGGCTGGGGCTTTTGATATCTTCGAGATTCAAGCATTTATGAGGCCCTTCTGTTAAGCAGCAAAGTCCCCAAACAGTCTTCAGACTTCAACTTAGCAACAGGCAATTACTCAAGACATAGTTTGCACTGGATGAAGGGAAGTTGTAGCATAGAAACGAGTGTGGGTATATGGGGTTGTATGGGAATGAGATGAGAACTATGTGGGGCATTCAAGAAAGACTTCTGAGTATTAGGCAAGGGGATGGATAAGAAAGCGACAAAGCATGGATGTAGTGAATGTGCCAAAAGGAGTAAGCCAGCAGGGAAGAGCACAAGTTGATAGCTAGCGAGTGAATTAGAAACCTCAGTGTCCCTCCTCCCTCTCCTTCCTCTCCTTCTTTGCCCGCTCCCTCCTTGACATCTTAGAGCTAGATGCTGCTCCCTCCTCCATACCATGCTCACGCTCCAGTTCCCTCTCTGCCTTCTCATTCATCTTCCTCACCTTCTTTTCCTTGCGCCTAGCCCATCGCTTCTCCTCGTTGAGCTTCTTCTTCTCCTCCATCTCCTCCCTGCGATGGGTCAGGTAGTCCCTACCCATATGGAACGGACGGTAGGCCGGCCTACCGTCCGTCGCGGGAAATACTTCCTTTTCGGCCCTTCTGACTATCTGGCAGGGGGTTTACGCACCTCCCAGTCAACATTGAAACACCCGCCGGGACCCCCCTCCCCCCCTGCGGCCGCCTGCGGGCGCTTGTGTGCGGACGGCCTGCAACCCGCGACGGCAGGGGCTGGAATCGCTCCCCTCTCTCTGCTCTTTGTTGCAGCACCCTATTTCCACCCTTGTGAGCCTCTTTGCTTAGGCACCGCAGCCGCCAGACCCTCCCATTCAGCCTCCACCGATCTCCCTTGCTGGCACGGACATCGACGGTGGGGGCTGAAAGGGGTCAAATCTCTCCCCCGTTGCATGCATTCCCCCTTCTGAAGCTCCCTGAGTCTATCTCGGTAGGCACCCAACCCGCCAAACCCCATCGCTCGTGCTCCAGCGTGCTCCACCTGGGGCTCAGTGGGTCATGCAGGCTTGGAATTCACCGACAGACTCTGCACGTCTTGGACACACCCAAGGGCACCTCTGAAGTGAGGTTTGATCAGCCACCGCACCTTTCCCATGCCACAGTTGAGTTTCTACAGAATTACTATTATTCTGAGATAAACATCAGGAGGGATCGGACAGCTGGTGCTTAGCCAGTACTCAGTCCGCTGGTGTCAGGGATGATTCTACACCCTCATTCAAGTGTGTAGAGTCATATTTTATAGCCACCAGAGAGGCCAGCATGACCTGCTGTTTTGCT